GTCGTTTTGGAACGTCATATCTTCGCGCGGAGTTATGTCGTTTTGGAACGTCATATCTCCGCGGGGAGGTATGTCGTTTTGGAACGTCATATCTCCGCACGGAGTTATGTCGTTTTGGGACGTCATATCTCCGCGCGGAGTTATGTCGGTTTGGAACGTCATATCTTCGCGCGGAGCTATTACCCGAGATATTAACAATTGCGCAGTTGCATATAACTTTGGTTTTTTTATCTTTATGAAATTTTCTACAGTATATCTTATTGTATCATAGAATATTTGTGTATACTGAATAAGTCAACTGCATTTAAATTTTAGCTTAAATTGGTTGGCAATAAAAGTTGGGTTATTAACTTGATTTATAGCTCTGTGGTGGTAGCGGAGAGGTGGCGATAGGTATAAAATGAAAGATACTTGACAAATATATAATATTTTAGAAGCAACATATCATGTTTTGTGACTCTAGCTCTTATTATTTACCAAAATTGCCCAAAAAACAGGATATCGATATCGATTTTTATCGATTGCTTGGGAACAGAGTATGTTATCGATTATCGGAAACAAACTGTATCTACGCGGGCACTAGGAGCACCATCTAAATTCCAAGTCTATAGCTCTTATATGTTCTGAGATCCTTGCGTTCATACATACGGACGGAAGGACGGACTGACGGACAAACAGACGGACATGGCTGGATCGAGTCGGCTGATCAAGAATATATATACTTTATGGGGTCGGAGATGCTTCCTTCTGCCTGTTACATACATTTGGATTTTGCACAAATACAATATACCCTTATACCCATTTTTAATGGGTTCAGGGTATAAAAACAACTGTGTGCACTAGTCGTAAGTAAACGAACAGGAGATACCCTGTACCCAGCTCTGAGCTGTCTACTTCCCTTTCACTCATGGGGAATATTACAGTTGACATGCGAAGTGTGTACAAGAACTGGTTACAAATCGATAATTATCGATTTTAGGCAAATCTATGAATCGTCGTCGTTTTAGAACGTCATATCTTCGCGGGGAGTTATGTCGTTTTGGAACGTCATATCTCCGCGCGGAGCTATGTCGTTTTGGAATGTCATGTCTTCGCGCAGAGTTATGTCGTTTTCGAATGTCATATCTCCGCGCAGTGCTATGTCGTTTTGGAACGTCGTATCTCCACGCGAAGCTATGTCGTTTTGGAATGTCATATCTCCGCGGGGAGTTATGTCGTTTTGGAACGTCATATCTCCGCGCGGAGCTATGTCGTTTTAGAACGTCATATCTTCGCGGGGAGTTATGTCGTTTTGGAACGTCATATCTCCGCGGGGAGGTATGTCGTTTTGGAACGTCATATCTCCGTGGGGAGTTATGTCGTTTTGGAACGTCATATCTCCGCGCGGAGTTATGTCGTTTTAGAACGTCATATCTCCGCGGAGAGCTATGTCGTTTTGGAATGTCATATCTCCGCGGGGAGTTATGTCGTTTTGGAATGTCATATCTCCGCGGGGAGTTAAAATTGCCCAAAAAACAGGATATCGATATCGATTTTTATCGATTGCTTTGGAACAGAGTAAGTTATCGATTATCGGAAACAAACTGTATCTACGCAGGCACTAGGAGCACCATCTAAATTTCAAGTCTATAGCTCTTATATGTTCTGAGATCCTTGCGTTCATACATACGTTCGGAAGGACGGACGGACGGACAGACAGACGAACATGGCTGGATCGAGTCGGCTGATCAAGAATATATATACTTTATGGGGTCGGAGATGCTTCCTTCTGCCTGTTACATACATTTGGATTTTGCACAAATACAATATACCCTTATACCCATTTTTAATGGGTTCAGGGTATAAAAACAACTGTGTGCGCTAGTCGTAAGTAAACGAACAGGAGATACCCTGTACCCAGCTCTGAGCTGTCTACTTCCCTTTCACTCATGGGGAATATTACAGTTGACATGCGAAGTGTGTACAAGAACTGGTTACAAATCAATAATTATCAATTTTGGGCAAATCTATGAATTTATTCATGATTTAATATAAAATATTGTTACATATCGGAAAGGGTATACAAGAACCTTTAGAGTCTCATAGATCGGCTTGCTTAGAGACAGACAGAACCACAAATCTATTATACCCTCTTTTAGCTACCTTCAGCGAACACAGGGTATTTAAATGTCTGGCTGAGCTCTTGCTCTCTGAGATTACAGCACAGGTATACCCCTTTTCAAACACTCAACTTAAATATTTTACAGCTCAACTGCCCACTCAGTGCTTTACCTACCCATGACCGAGAAGAGCGGCCGATTGCGACTGCAGACGTGATCGTAGTAACTGTCGCAGGCATATTTTCTGGAATTAATCGAATGCTCCATGCGCATGGCCAGGTGGCTCAGCTCCTTGATGCGCAGCTCGGACAGGTGGCCCGTGTAGGCTATTTGCGCCTCCACGGCGCCCAGGCAGACGCCCAGCACGGCAAACAGCAGAGCGGTCCACATCTTTGTCTCTAGCTCTCACTCAATCCTTGGCCTCAGCTATTCGCGTTGTTCTCCAATCACGCACTGGCACAAACTGAAGCCAGCTACGCAGCCAGCTCCACAGCCAGCTCTATCGGCGGCATCCGCCGTTGCCCAAGCTTAAGCGCCGATAAGAGCTGTCGAGTCGTATCAGTTGCTTTTAAATTGCTCTCCCGTCGCTCAGTTCACTTAATTATGACCTGTAAAAACATAAATACGCGCGAAAGGGTATCTTGGAAGCGGCACTAAAGTCGTGACCTTCTGATTTTGATTTTTTTGATGAGTATTTATCCTAATAGCCCGTAAATCTGATCATGATCGGGTTTCTATTATCGAAAGTGAGGTAAAAGGATACTCTAGGTTGTACAGGGTATCAGCTTATCGAGCACACCAATATGTTTTTTTTTATTAAGAGTTGTTTACATTTTCGATCGCAGCCCAGTTTTAAACGTCCGCTCCGGCCCGTTCATAGACATCGAGGCGGCGCTGCTTATAGATGGGAATCTGTCGACGCACTTCATCCACCATGTCGAAATCTGTGAGGGAGTGGGGCAGATCAAATCGCGCTCTCTCTCTCTCTCTCTCTCTCTGCGTCCCTCTCTTTTAACCTTCCACCGAACTTACCAATCGTCTCCACAATCAGTTCACGACCCTCCCCCGCCTCGCGCTGCACACGCGCCCAGGGATCAACAATCATGGAATGCCCGTAGGCAACATAGCCGGACATATTGTTGCGGGCAGGTGCACAGGTGATCACAAAGAGTTGGTTATCTGTGGCCCGGGCGCGCTGCAGCAACTCCCAGTGCATGGGACCCTGGCAGATGCAGAAGGCCGACGGATAGACCAGCATCGAGCAGCCTAAAAAGATGGCTCCGGTTGCAGTTGGAACTGTACGCACCCCTCCACTCCCCTCACTTACCTTGGTTGCGATAGAGGCGTGCCAGTTCCTCGAAGCGCTTGTCATGACAGATGCCAATGCCGACCTTATGTGCTCCAATTTGCACCAGGGTCAGCTCGTTACCCGCCGTCAAGGCGACGCCCTCATCGAACTGGCAGCCGCCCAGCTGCTCCGGCTCAATGTTCACGCAGAAGAGATGCAGCTGTGTGTGGGATGTCGAGTCCGGGGAAACTGTTTAATTATTTTGAAAAGCACTCTTACCTTGCGATGTCTGCCAATTAGCTGGCCATCGGGCGCCCACACGGTGCACGTATTGTACAGCTTATTCTGGTCATCCCGTTCAATTATGCTGCCGCCAATAATATAGATGCCCAGCTTCCGGGCCAGCTGGGACAGCGCCTGACATGTGCGTCCCTCCGGCACGCGCTCCGCATGCCGGCCAAAATGCTCGATGGCGTACGGTCCGTTGAAGCTCTCCGGCAATATGGCCAGCTGTAGCTGCGGATTTTCAGCCTTCAGCTGCGTAATGCTGTCCACAGCCTGACGCACATTTCCCGCCACATCGCCGCCCACGGGCAGCTGCAGCAGACCCAGCGTAAGCTCTGCGAGAAATGCCAAAGGGCTTTAATTAGGACTTCAGCGGATTAATGTCCTGTCGCTCTGCACCCACTGTTGCTCATCTCGTTCCAGACAGGCACGCCCTCAGCTCGACTCGTTGCCGAGTGATGAGTTTTGCTCGCGAGTTTTGCCATTTTATAGCTCGATTTTCCAGTGCTTATCAATCCATCCAGCGATCCCCTTTGTGGTTTTTTAATTGTTTTTTTCCAATTTAATTTTTATAAACCGAACTCATCAACGTTGACTAAAGAGTGTATATTGATATTGTATGTTCTTGATCGTGATAATAATGCCCTAAAAATTTATTGCGATCGGACTTTAAGCACCGAAGTTAACCAAGAATTTTTTTTCTTTATTTTTTTTATTATCTTAATTTTACGGTTATTATGGAAACAACTTTAATTAAACATATGCAAAGATGCATGTGTGGAACGAGAGGGAACAGAAGGGTATCTTCCAGTCGGGCATGTTCGACTGGCGCACTCTTGCTTCTTTTTATACTATTTATTGAAACGCGATGCTCATTTATTGAATATATGAAAATAAATGTTATTGTATATTTACACATACACAATTGACATACACTGCCAAAAAGTTAAGGCTGGCTTGCAAAGGATTGCAGTGTGCTAGGATTAGATTAGGTAAGATTAAAATACTTAAGATTAATTCGGAACTGTCGGAAGAATATTTTTTCAAGCATTTGTGCTATGAATATTCTCACAGAATAACTCGGAACTCTACACTGAGTACAGAGTATTAATTATTGAATATGCTCGTCAAAACAGATTTCTTGTTACCTGGAAAATTTAAAGCATCTTAAGTTTAACTCGGCTTATTTCGATTACACTTACAAAGTGCATCCATAATTGTTATTTGATCTCCAATTGTGGTTTTGCCGAATAACAAACGCATATAGATGCATTTATAGCTGGCCTGTTAACAGCAAAACCACAGACTGTTTCCCAAGTAAAGCACTCGAGAGTTCATGCCTCAAATAGGGGCTATTTATTTAAATAAATTGTTGCACTACTTTTGTGTTTTTCTATGTCTTTTGTTTCCTTTTGTTGTTGTGCCCTTTACTCAATGGACTGAATAAGGGTTATAAACGACAGGGCGGCACGACAAATCTGCAAGAAATCAAAGAGAGTGGCGTTTATTTATTGATATCCATCTATCAATAGCTCAAGCTGTCAATTACCGCCAGAAAGTTGGCAAGCGAAGCTTCATAGAAGCCCGCCTTGATGAGCATCTCCCGCTGGGAACGATGCATCATGAAGACCAAGGAACGCCGCTGCTTGGGCAAAGCCAAGTGCCAATTGGATGTTTGGATAGCGATGCCAACCTGCAGGCTCTAAATGAGATATGAATATATATATATATACAGTTATATAGATTACTAGCGCAAAAAAACAAAAAAGTTTCATATTCATGGAATTTCCCGAAAGTCAGTCAATGACTCAGTCAATCATTCGGTCAATCAGTCAGTCAATCAGTCAGTCAATCAGACAGTCAATCAGTCCGTCAGTCACCCAATCAGTCAGTCAATCAGTCAGTCAGACAGTAAGTCATTCATTCAGTCAGTCAGTCAGTGTGTCAGACAATCAGTCACTCAATCAGTCAGTCAATCAGTCGGTCAATCAGACAATCAGTCACTCAATCAGTCAGTCAGTCAATCAGTCAGTCAATTAGACAGTCAGCCACTCAATCAGTCAGTCAGTCAGTCAATCAGTCAGACAGTCAGACAGTAAGTCATCCATTCAGTCAGTCAGTCAGTGTGTCAGTCAATCAGTCAGTCAATCAGTTCGTGAATCAGTCAATCAGTTGGTCAATCAGAGTTTCATTCATTCATTCAGTGTGTAAGTCAATCAGACAGTCAGACAGTAAGTCATCCATTCAGTCAGTCAGTCAGTGTGTCAGTCAATCAGTCAGTCCATCAGTTCGTGAATCAGTCAATCAGTCGGTCAGACAGTAAGTCATTCATTCAGTCAGTGTGTAAGTCAATCAGTCAGTCAGTCAATTAGTCAGTCAGACAGCAAGTCATTCATTATGTCAGTCAGTCAGTCGAGGCGAAGAGTTTTATAGATAGAGATGTATAGATTTTAGCCTACCTCAACTTTGATGATCTCTCCGCCGTAGCAGTACATGAAGAGTTGCAGCATTATGGAGCAGAAGAATGAGAAATACACGAGCAGGGCCATGATTGAGTCCATGTGCTGCAAGTGGAAGACAGAACAAAAGTATTCTTGGTACACTCTAGCCACACTCTGGACACACTCACCGTCACAATCTGGTAGATGATGACGCCCACCTCCAGCGAGGTGATGAAGAACTGGCCGAATACGATGGGCGTGTAGATGCGTCGCAGCCGCCGGCACAGGTCGAGGAGCAGCACATGGTAGTCGACCACCTCGACCAGCTGCCGCTGCACCAGCTGCTCGGCCTGGTCGAAGTTGAGCTCGCGAATGTCCTGCTGCAGCGCCTGGAAATGGGCGCGCAGATTAATGGCAAAGGATATGAAGAGCCCGTCCACGGCCGAGGCATAGAGCACCACGACGATGGTCACAAACAGCGTATAGATAAAGCCAAACTCGTAGCCGGGACAGTCCACATCATTGAAGGGAAATCTGAAAGGAAAGCGACGATAAAGGAACAAAGATTGCGAAGCTTAGTTGGGTCATAAAACTGAGTTCATCGCAGGGCCGCACTTGAGAAGCTGGGCAGCTGGGAATGAAGGAAAGGCGACTGGTCTGTGGCAAGGTAAATGACTGTGGCAAAAGACAAAAGGAAATTTTGTGATTTTCACCAATGCAACCGACTGCGCAATACTCTGTTGACAGTGTTGTAAGAGCAAAAAGAAATGGCAAAGAGTCTACCTCATTGATTCACTTGTGACTCTAAAACTATTAGCCCGTAAGCAGTTGCTTTTAAACTGTTTTCAGTGTTGGCTAACTGGAGATGAGTCTGTAACTCGCAGTCACTTTAAAACTGTGCACATTTCCACAAATCTTGGTGATGAAAATGGGCGTGGCTGGTTATTTAAGGAATAAATGATTAAATCCATATACTCCTTTGCATTTTGCGAATAGGGTATACAAAATTAGGTAACTTGAAGATACATTTGACAGATAAATGCAAGAAATCGTTTCTTGAATGCGACTTTAAAGGAGTTTAAGGGAAAAGGAGGTTGCTTCTTGTAGCTTCTTTAATTTGGACATGGTCCAGGGTACAGATAAGAGCTGCAGCAACGTCTAAAGGCTTTACCAGACCAGCTCATTCCAACTCCCAAGTGACTGCGTGTGAAAAGAAATAAAGTGCCTGCCAACAGTATGCTTACTTCATGGGCATGGGCAGCTCTCGGGCGTAGGGCACGCCACGCCAGCTGCTGGTGATGATCTTGATAATGGGTCCGAGCATAAAGTAGAGCCCGGTGAAGCCGCAGGAAATGCAATAGGCGCGGCCCAGCGAGGCGGCAAGCTTGTTGGCACGCGCCAAATAGCCATTGCCTCCATTCTCGAGCTGAGCTGGAAAAGGTTTTATTACAAATCAGGTATCAATCTATAATTTGTAGCTTACATTTGCAGTCGAGCTGCCTGAAGCGCTGCATCATTTGGCCAAAGTTGGGCTTGTAGAGCAGAAACGTCCAGATCTTGGTGACCGTGACCAGGTTGGTGAAGGCCACGCTCAAGCAGGCGGTAATCAGCTCCATGTCGTCCCGATGATAGATGACATACGACAACATCGGATACTCGGCGGAGAGCACAAACAGGAGAGATGCGATGTGCTTTAGGCCAAGGGTAAAGCTGCCCGGAACACCAGAGCTCTCCAGATTGTGGCCCATGAGGCGCAGACAATTCTCCTGCAGCTGAAACAATCGCGACATGGCCAAGTCCAGCTGAATTGTGTGTCTGCAGCCCATCTTGGATTTATATATACACCTGGACACACGCATTTTAATTGGCGCCCTGTTCAATTAATTGTACATTTGACATTGTTTTGCGGCTCCGGTCGTGACTTATTTACGGCTAATAACTGTGATTGCCAGGACACTCGTTGATATGTTGACATCATAAATTATCATTGCTGACACTAATTGGCCAACTGGGCGGGAAGCACCCATCCGCCCACCTGCCCACCTGCCTACCTGCCCAGCTCGACACTTTAAAGCGAAAGCTTTCAGTTTGTATTTATATAACCCGCGGCCTGTGCGCAATCAAAACCTAATCAATGTACTCGCAACTGTCGTAATATACACAAAAATAACGCGCAAAAAAAATTAATATTTTTCTTTACTTTGCAATTACAGTTGGTTTTTTTTTTTTTTGGGTGCTATGCACTTACAGCGGGTCTTTTAGCTAGCTCAAACGCTTTAAAATGTGCCAGTAAAAAAGACGAACCGATTCGAGTCTGACTCAATTGCAGATTTCCTATTTATTCTTATCCAAGAACCGATGTGTAGACCCTATCGACAGTTGTAGAAATCCAGGTATAAGCCCGAAGCCTGGCTTTAAAAAATAGGTTCACGAACCGAACCTTAAGGCAGAAAGTTTGTTCAAGCCACAAACCGAACCACAGAAGAAATAGCTTGTAAATTGTCGGACTAGCAAGCAGCAAGTCGCTGGTTCAAATTCGCCAGCAATTTTCAAAGTAATGTTAAATTTGTAAAACATTTGTTTAACCAGGTGCGGGAATGGTACTATATGGAAAACTAGTTGGACAAGCACGGGCTTATGGCAAATGGAAGTATGATTCAAATTCGCAAACCAAATAAACATGTATCCCGAACAATCCATCTAAGATTTAGGGACTCCTTCATCTTATTCTCAGCGTCATGGTATAAAATCGTATAGTATAAATGGTATAGTATATAAATATAAAAATAATATAAATAAATATAAATAAAAAAATAGTACACAATTCATAAGTTTCTCAAATTGAAGATCAGCTTTTTCGCAACTCGTGGAAAGGGTATTTGAAGTTCGTTGGGGCTGTCTTAACTTTATCTTCACTTACATTTTTTGCTGACTAAGAAAGTTGGCTTCTGTGATTGTTGTCCGACATTCACTAGAGTTATTTTTTGCTCGAGACTCCGTCTCCGGGTCTGTCCCTGACCTCAAAAGGCTTGAAGACTTAATTGATTTGATTTTTGAAGAAGCGGCTAATCTCCGACAAGCTCAGTAATTAAAAATTAAAAAGCTGAGCTGAAAAATTGATTAAGCATATTAAATATTTGTTTAGAGAAAGCAAACGCTTATTTTTTTTTAACAACAATTCAAATTTATTAACAACAATTATTTTGAAGGATTGAAGCTGCAGCTCAACCGCTTAGAAACTGGGTGGCAGATAGGCATTGCTTGTCTGATGCGAGATCACCTGGCCGACGCCGGAGGAGTGGGAGGAGGCGCCGCCGCCAATGCCTGTGCCGCCGACAGCGACACCAGCAGCATCTCCGCCGCCCAGGGCGCCAATGACAGAGGTGACAGGTGCCACGCCCTCATCGGTGAGCTGGCTGCTGCCGCCGAGCGCATCGTACTGGGATTGGATCTGTTGCTGGGCATGGGCGGCCTCCTCGTTGGTCTTGTACTTGATGAAGAACACCTCCGGCTTGCTGGTGGAGCTGGCCTGCTCAACAACCTCGGCCTGCACATCGGAGGCGTCCGTCTTCTTGCTGAGCACATAGATGACGGTCTTGTCCTCGTTGACGGCGGGGCTAATCTTGATGGAGGTCTTCTTGTTGGAGCGCTGCGGCGACTTGATGAACACTACATTGTAGTTGCGCTTGGGCACGCCCACAGTAATATGACGCTCCTTGTACTCCTCATCCACATCCTCGGGCGCCGAGTGGATAAAGAAACGCTTGGAGACGATGGGCTGCTGATGCTGCTGCTGCTCCACGTGCTGCTGCTGCTGCTGCTGATGATGCACCACGGGCTGTTGCTGGAAGAAGGCCTGCTGCTGCTGCTGCTGGGGCTGCTGATAGTGCTGCTGCACCTGAGCAGCCTGGAAGAAGCTGGCGCCGCTGCCGCTGGCGGTGCTCAGGCCTGAGGCCACAGCGGATGGGCCAGGATTATAATTGTAGCCCTGCGGTGCGGCCAAAGCCACGGCGCTTAAACACAAGACCTGAAAGAGTATTTGTTAGTCGGTTATTAATCCTGCGACCCGTTCCGCGCTCTTACAATGAATCCACGCATTTCTCTACTTGGCTGAGCTGAGTCTGAGGGCTGGGGCTGGGCTTTTGCTAGACTTGGCTGTTCGCTGCGAACTGTTTGACTTTTCAGATCTTCGGCTGACTTTTATACTCTGCCCCCATCGACAACTTAATAAGTGAAGTTCAGCTTCAGTTTTTTTTTTCCATCTTTTTGCCTCATTTTTTTTGTTGCATGTTCATTGTTTTTGGTCCCAAACATTTGGCTAGACGCAGTTGTCCATCAAATCGCCTTCGCCTTCGTCTTTGCTTTTCAAAATCAACACACACAAAAAAAAAAAAAACGCGACTCTCATTAAATGCGGCGACTTGCTTGTAGTTGCCCGAAAGACATGGCCAATTAGCGTGATTCCCCCTGCAAGCTTTGGCTTTTGGTTTCATCTGCTGCTTCTTCTTTTGTCTTCTTCTTCTTCTTCTTCTCTTAATTGTCCAAGTTTCGGCACCCCCAGCTGCCCATTATGCGGTCGGCTGCGCAGCCTTTGGGCCACGCATCGATTAAATGCTATTAAAAGCCAGAATTGCATAAACACCTAATCAATTTTAGTACAACTTACAACTGAGAAATTGCTTGGGCCCAACTCCCTTTTTCCCCTGCCCCTCTCCGACCCAACACCCCTTTAGCAGACACCGCCAGCTCATGTACTTTGCCTGGGTTAATTAATGACCCGTCGAGCTTGAAAATTTTGCATGTGAGCTGCAATGTTGCCCATTTATCATTGGGTGCCCACCATTCAGCTGAACATACATATCTCCCACCAGCTGAAGATTAATTTACTTTTGATTATTTCGACAAAAGCCCTTTGTCAATAGAGACGAGACGGCGGCAATTGTTGGCCCAAAACGTGACGCCCAGCTCCAGCTTCAGCTACAGCTCCAGCTCCAGCTCCATTTGTGGTCGATGTAATGAGCCGTTTACTTGGCCAGCCGGACAGCTCCGGACAGTCGAACAACCGCAGCTTAGCCGGGCTAATGAACATGCGATGCTCCCTCAACGCTTCTTCATTAACGGGTTCCTAAGCCAAGTGTCTGAGGTCGGGGCTAAGCCGCAACTGGAGGCTGTTGCTCAATGAAACGTGCCACAGCTCGCACAAGCTCAAGTCTTGAGAGAAATTATTTGACTAACAGCTAAATATTAAAATAATAAATAATATAATTGACCAAAACAAAATCTAAAAGCAATATGTTTTTGTTTTTCTATAATCATAAGCATAATAAATATATATAAATCATATATTTGAGCATTTTTCAATAACACGACAAGCATAAGCAAAATCTTAAAATAATATGAAGTTTTTTTTATTACTTTATGTAAATATTTCCTAGGTATTTTATTAATTTAACGAATTGACAGCGAATCTTTTAGTTAATATAAACATTAAAAAGGTTACAAAATGAAAATATTTTTCTTTAAGTTCTTGAGCTTGTTTGTTTTTCAAGACTTAAGTTGACAGTTTATCTTTTATTTAATTATTTGAGTTTTAAAAAATGCCTGACAAATGAAAATAATTTTTTTAAGAATAAATTCTTGTTATTCAAGACTTGGCATATACAAATTCAATATATTAATAATTTACAATAAAGTAGTTAATATGTATTCCACACGCTGCATGGCTTGCAAAGCTTTTGGCTTGCGTAAAAGCTTGGTCCACAACCGTTATTCGATATCAAAACCAAAAGTTGACATTTAAAAACTTAAAGCTTTGCATATTACGACTAATTTATCAATTGAAAGTTGCCCACAAATTGAATGAAATGCTGCAATTTGAAGAGTAAAACCGTTTTGAATAATATTTGAATTTTTCAAAATTTAAAGCTCGTTATGCAACACTGCAAGTTTGCCGAAAACTAAATAAAGGCATTTAATAGCTCATTATTTTTATCATCACTTTTCGCCAGGTTTTCGTTTTTATCATTTTTTATAAATATACATATATATATAAATTTGATGCATAATATTTTAATTATTTAATTTGATTTTTATATATATGCACCTTTCTGTTTATAGTGTTGGTAATTGTCGAACATTAGCGCCAACAGCCTTGACCATGCTAATTTTCTATGCACGCGATCGTCACAAAAGTGAAATTGATTGAAGTTCGAGCTGTGAAAATAAAATACAACATATATAAAAGCACTTAAAGCACTCGGCGGGTGTAAAGAAATTTTCGATTTATGCAACAATAAAACGCTAATAAGCGGCTAACAGTGTTGCACAACACTTAAGACAAAGCAGCATCGAGCATTTACCGTTGTGTGAGTACATTAAACAAAAGAACGCCTACCACACTGGGCTTATATAACCAGCCTTGGTTGGCTTCAGGTGTATTTATAAGACAAGAAAATAATATATAAAATAATATAACTTACGACAGATGCACGACTGGAGGAAGCCCCGCAGCATTTGGGATATTTGATTAATCTGCGCACATACGTCAAAATATCATCGTCATCATTTCGGCTGCTCATCTTTGCACACAATCAAATTATGACCCAAATTTCCAGAGCCAGTGACGGACATTGATTGATTTTGAAAAGAAAATTTTAAAAAAATAACAAATTTAAATAAAATAAAATAAAATAAAGTAAAATAAATTTAAATTAATAACTGTTATTAAAGCAATACCAACTAAATATACGAAGTGTTAATCTTTAAATGCGAATATCAAATAATGAAGAATGATTATTATTTTCCTGTTCACATATCAAAAGCACAAATTTATTAATAACAGTTATTAAAGCCATGCCAAATACAAATTCAAAGTGTTAATCTGCAATCTTATTAAGTTCCAATATCAAAAATCAAATATAATTAACATTTTCCTGTGCACACATAATTTAATCTAACTAGTTGAATAAATGTGAAGTAATATAATAGACTTTAATTTAGGTAAATTGTTGGCTCGAAATCAAATATGAGTGTGCCTCAGATAGATTATTTCAGTCAAGTGAATCGCGCCCTAATGCTGATTTCTTTCGTTTGTCGAAAAAGAAAATTACATAAATAACGCTCGAAAAAAATAAAAAAAAATAAAATAATACAAATAATGCCCATATCACATAGAGGGCATTATGCAATGCGGGCCTTAACGGCGCATAGTCCAATTAAATTGGCAAGAGCTGCAAATTGAACTGGGGCTCGGTTTGGGCCCAACTGGGTCAGGCCCCTGATGACCATCAAAAGCGATTTATAAAACGGCCAAAATCTGCGCAATTTGGCGCGTCACTAATGACAACTAAGTATTTTTTGCTGCGATTTGTGCAAGTTATGTTTAATTATTGTTGCCCAGCATCGAGATCTTCGGCGAAATTGTCTATTGGCCCCATAACAATGGATATGCTAATTCACATATGACTTCCGGCGAGTTGGGCAGCGTGTCTGTGTCTGCGTCTGTATTGCCTGGCGCTAAGCCCCATGATGACGCAGGCATTTGCGTGCGGAGAGTGTGAGTCTGCGCCGACTGAAGATATTGTCTCAAGGTTGTTCAAAAGAAAACAGGTAAGTCTTACGGCTGATTGACGGCCGAATACCCTGTAGTCAGCTGGGTAATACACCGAAAGATAAATGAATGGTAGCTAAAAAGTTATATATTACAGATGTGCTAAGAAAAAGATTTGCATATCGAAAAATATAGATTTTCCTAGAAAAGAATAGGTATAGATCTGGCTTAATTACCTGTAAAAAGCTTGGTGTGTATTTCTCCATTCACGTTGGGAGACGACCAAAGCATCTATCCTAGATATCGATATTTATCGATTTTTGGGCAATATAGAAATATAATTGATCTGATTTTAAGACAATCTAAATTCCAAGCTTTAAGCTTCTGAAAATTCAAAATGTATAAATATAAATACGAAAAACCAAATGACACTTTAAAATGCGATACTTTTGAAAGACTTCGAGGTTTGATTAAAGCGAGCGAGTTCGCGATATTGGGAATAGTTGCAATGAAATTGATTTAAATAATTTGATTAATGAAACTAAAGACAAACAAAACCTAAATACGACACGACTGTTTTTGCAGATCATCGTAAAGTAGATGCCTCCTTCTAACTGTGACAAACATTTGCAAAAAACCATATAGCCCTTTTCAGTATTTACAGGGTATTTGAAAAGCGGCTTTGCTGTCGCTTGTGAGATCTATTGGCCCTCGCACTACGCGCGTTTTGTTGTGGTTTCTGTTTCAGTTTCAGTTTCATTTGAACTTTACGTCGCCTCTCATCATCATCATCATCTCCATCTCCATCTCCAGCTCCATCTCCAGCTGCTGCTGCAGCATCACGACAGAGATTCGCGTCGGCGTCTTATAAGTGACAGTCGGCGACTGATTAGCATTTAGTTGGTTTCTGTTTGCCAAGCGACCCGGTGCTCAGTCTTAAGTCGGCCATCAAATCGAACGGAAATGCGCGTGTTTATTGTAAGCTCTTTTTTGCATTGGAATCTTGTCAAGCATTTGTCTAATGGATCGTGCTCTCCTAGGTTACGTGCCTGCTGGGCCTGTCATTGGCAGCGCCACAAGGATACAATTACCAGGCGGGGGGAAATCTGCACTTGCCCGGCATACCCAGCATACCCGGCTTATCCGGCTTAGTCGGGCTGCAACAGCAGGCGGCCAGTGTGGATGAGCAGCGTCTCGTGCAGCAGGCGCTGCAGGCACCCAAGGTGCAGCAGATCTTCCAGCAACAGCCACAGCAGCAGCAGCAGATCTTCCAGCAACAGCCACAGCAACAGCAGCAGATCTTCCAACAGCAGGGCTCCAGCTTTGGTTACAATCAACAGCCGCAGTCCTACAGTCCCGTCGTCTCCAAGGACATCTATGTCCACGTGCCGCCCGCCGAGGAGCCAGAGGAGCGCTATCCACAGCCCGTGCTGCCCGTGGGCCCACCACGCAAACATTATCGCATTGTGTTCATTAAGGCGCCGACGCCCAGCGTGAGCAAGGCGGCCGTCCGGGTGCAGCAGGCGCCCGTCGAGGAGAAGACCATCATCTATGTGCTGACCAAGAAGCCCGATCCGCTCGAGCTGCAAACGGCTATCGAGGAGGCGGCACCGAAGCCCATCAGCAAACCGGAGGTGTTCTTTATCAAATACAAAACGCAGGAGGAAGCGGCGCATGCGCAGCGCACCATACAAGGTAAATTCCAAAACAAAAGCCACGGAAGACAAACTTTGCATACGGCCAAGACCTTGCGAGTCGCTTTTATGGCCAACAGAATTGAAGAGGAGGCTAACCTCTATTGCCGGGTTTTTTTTTGTTTTTTGCTTATCCATTTGGTCTTCTTTGCAGCTCAATACGATCAGCTGGGCGGCACCACGCAGGTCTCCGACGAGGGCGTGGCACCGGTCACATCGGTTATCGGTGCTCTGGATAATCAGGTGGGCACAGGTGCAGGGATTGGTAGCACGGCAGGCCTCACGGGCGCTGTGCCCAGCAAATATTTGCCCGCCCATTTGCGTGCGTGATGATGAGAATTGACTGAGAACTCAAGAATTGTTGTTATTGTTGTAGCCATAGGTAAAAAAAAAAAAACAAACAAATTGTCTAACTATATATTATATTAAATATATCTAGCTGAATACACATTTTCGTTTTTCTGCTGCCCCCCGACTCCGCAGCGACCTTCAAGCGCATCTTTCACAATTTTTACTTGACAAAGGCGATCACGAAAACAAAAATCAAAGACAAAAAAAAATAATATAGTTTTATGCCTCTGCGCATTGCCACATTGATTAGCCGGGCTGGGAAAACCGGTCGCATCGATTAGCATTTGATTTGCCTTGCATAATCCCAAAATCTACATAATGATCGTGCAGAGCAATATCTTGAGTCACTAAGTGGTTGCTCACACTTTTCAGGGCCTATAATTTATACTGGCATAAGCCCTCATTAGATATTATAGAAGATATTATCCAAGAAATTACCCAAGCTCGGTTCAAATGCAGCAGGTTGTGTAATTTTGTGTCAAATAATTTAAACATGCTTTTGTTTTTGTGAATAATCATAATCAGTTAAATAGATAATAAATAGATATTAATTAGATAAATAAATTATTGGAATTTTAAGCCTTTTCTATATTTGAACCAGCGACTTCACAACAGATATTCTGACGGTTAGACTTCGTGTTGCTGTTGATGTTTGTTAGACAATAAATAAGCTTTTATAATTATGAAAATTAATAAATTAAATAAACAACTATAGGAATTCCACACTGTTTCTAGATTTGAACCAGCAACTTTGCACTTGACAGTCCGACGCTAGACTTCTAGTTTCTGTTGATGGCACTTAGACAAAATTAAACCAACGCGCTTCCAATCGGAGATCACGTTGCTCAAAAATCCCATCTTAGTGCTCATTGCTTATTGCAAACTGATTCTATATTTGAACCGGCGACCTCCCACTTGATAGTTCTACGCTCATCTAGGCTATGCATGCGTCGCAAAATTTAAATTGTTTGCGATTCTGTTGATGTTTAAGCCAATGCATTCTTCTAATCGAAGATCACGTTTCCCTAAAATTTCATCTTAGCGCTCACTGATAATCAAGCATTCAGTCAAGGATCAATCATGCGACAAGGATGACTGCGACGAACCCAGCTTCGATTTTAAATTCCACACTAGGACTCATAAAAGTAAAAAGTCAGGTTCATGAACCAAACCTAAGGTAAGACGTTAGCCATTCCCCACCAAAAATATATTTAAATTTGCGGCCCTGTTTTTATCAAGGTCTAGCCTAATTAAGCGACTGCTCAGCTTGCAGTTTCCTATTAAGACATAGATAAGTATCCTCAGCGAACTCATCCAAAAAAGGTGTTAATTAAGCAATTAAGCTTTTGAATAAATGATCTTTTCAGGTTTTACAATTATGGTTAATAATCATTAGGTTCATTTAATTAACGCACAAGATGTAACGACCGATCAAGGTCTGCATAGGCCAGACAGTTTCTCTGATTGAAATATAAACTAATCAACTACTTGTGCTATTAATTAGGACTCCAACTAGCTGAAGGCGAGATGAATAGCTGTTGGATATTTTACTCTCAAGAGTTATCTGTAGCTATTCTGGGGACCCACTCCTTCAACCAATTGAACTAAAGAGGGAGAGAAAAATATTGGGAAAGAGTCAGAATATATAATATAATATAATATAATATATATAATAAGAGACAGACAGACAGGAGAGAAAAGAAAGAGATAGAGAGTGAGAGAGAGAGACCTTAAACAGGGAGAGAGTTGGGTGAAAATATAGGGAAATAGGGAGGTAGAAAAGGAGAGATAGAGAGAGAGGGCAGGTGGGAGAGAGAAAATGAAGGAAAAAGAGTAAGAGAAAGAGAGAGAGAGAGAGAGAGAGAGAGAGAGAGTGAGGAGAGAAAGAGGGAAGGAGACTGAGAGAGAATGAAAGATACAGAGTGAGAAAGAGAAAGAGTGAGAGTGAGTGTGAAAGAGATAGAGACAGAGGAAGAAAAAAAGAGGATAAGAAAGGGGAAGAGTGAGAGAGAATGAGGGTGATATATATGTAAATATATATATTTTCGAGCAGTTGAAAATGTATATCCATATATATATCCAATTTCCAATTAATCCAATTTTTGACACATAAAAGGTTTTTTTTAGATATATAAAATACTGTGTAGACTGTAAGAGAGGGAAAAAGATAGGAAAAGAGACAAAAAAAAATAAATCCTATCCAAATACAATTCTTTTAACTATAAAACTTAAAAATATTTATGCCTGGTTAAGATATTGGATATATTTATTTTGATTTGATTATTGATTTGACAATAAATTAAAATAAACTAAAATGCGGCGATTGTTGGAATTGAATGAAAGAAATGCGGTGGAAATTCGCCTTATTTTGTCTTGGCTGGAATGTAGCGCTTGGAGGGGACATTGACGCCAAAGTTGGCGCCGGAAGAGACGGAGGAGGTCTGCAGACCGGAGCTCTGGAAGCCGCCGGAGCTCTGGAAGCCGCCGCTCTGGAAGTTGCCGCTCTGGTAGTTGCCGCTCTGGAAGTTCTGCTGCTGGATGCCCACGCTCTGGGCCTGGGACTGGGCCTGCTGCTGGATGTGCTGCGGCACAATGTTGCCCAGGTTGAGAGAGCCGGAGCCGGAGAAGCTGCTAATAGGCGCGACACCCTCGTCCGAGATGTGTGTGGCACCGCCCAGAGCATCGTACTGGGCCTGGATCTCCTGCTGGGCGCGCTGTGCCTCCTCCGTGGTCTTGTACTTGATGAAGTAGACCTCGGGCTTGTGCACCTTCGGTTCGTTCTGGGTCAGCTGCAGGTGCTGGTGAATCTCGTTGATGTCGGGCTTCTTAGACAGCACATAGATGACAGTCTTCTCCTCGTTGCTGGCCTGGGCGCGCTTCAGCGCGGCAGCGGTGTGCTTCAGATTCTGTGTGGGCGCCTTGATGAACACAATGCGATAGTTCTTGCGAATGGGCGTGTTATCCAACTGAGGCGCCGACTGCAGCTCCTCGGTGTCATCGGGCGCCGAGTGTATGTAAATATCCTTGGTCACGATCGAGGGACGCTGCGCCTGATACTGTGACTGCACGAACTGCTGCTGGATCTGGGGCTGCGACTGAATCTGGGGCACAAACTGCTGCTGGGGCGGAGAAGGCACGAATTGCTGCTGAATCTGGGGCTGCGGCTGCTGATAGACAACCTGCTGGGCCTGCGGCAGAGGCTGTGGCAACGGTGCCTCCACAACATTATTGAAGACGGGCTGCTGGGCGGGCACATTGTATATTCCACTTGCCGAGAGCGGCGTCTGCGGACGCAGATTGCCCGCCTGAAGAGCTGGCTGCTGATACTTGTAGCCCTGCGGAGCTGCGGCGACGAGCACCACGCACGACAAGCACTGCGAATATGAAGGAGTTCAGCTTGAAGTGAGGCACAAACAAATTAGACCCTGCGACTTACCACTAGAAGGGAGAATTGTTGCATTTTTGCTTTTGAGCCTGGCGGACTGTGAACTTCTACTTCAACTGACCCGAGCAGATTGAACTCAACTGATGCCCCAATCGAGCGCTGGCAATGTTTTTATAAGAGCTCCGAATATGTGGCTGCGTTTCCCTACCCAAAAGAAATTTGGGTATAAAATTATCGAATCTATTGTCCCAGCTGCCCAGCGCCGGACAGCCTAGCCATGTGGTTGGCAAATCACGGAACCATATTCGGAAATATTCAGATTAGAGATGCATCTCAGTTGGACCGTTATATAACCCGGGCTAGCCAAGCGACTCGGTATTCAAATTAGTATAATCTCATAATATTTCAACGCCAATGCGGAATTAATGCGAAATATTATTGGTAAATGCGACAAATATCGAAAGAAAGTCATTTCTTATGCATATGCAGCTGGCCAAGACCCAAAACGTTAACTGATCGCCAAATTAGTTGGCTCGTTGAGTTGTGCGGAGCAGATGCCCTGCTCAGCCGGTTGCGTCTGCCAAATGTGCATAAATTAATTCAAGTCAAAGTGATATATAATAAAAATACAAAAAAAAAAACATGTAAACAAATGTTTGTTGCCAAAGAAAGCAGTTTATGGTTTCATGTCTGGCTCGTCCACAATTTTAAATTCGAGCTTTACACAATTTGAAGCGTCGTTAGCTTTCGAAACATAATAAAAACCCAGCAAGAGCCCCATTCATTGTCTTTGCCGACCGACATTATGCTAATTATTCTACCAGCTATTTGATAGAAGAGGCCCACAGTTAAAGCTCGTGTAATAATTGTTTACAATTTGTCTATAAATATTGTGTATCGTATATCACGCATACGGCAGGTAAAACAATTGAAGCAGAAGATTTGCAAGCAATTTAAGCCTAATCTGCATTTTTATAAAATATCAAGTGGCAGGCTCTAGACGGAAGTTACCGACTATGTGATACCCTAAGCCCTCCTCCAGCTCATTTGCTTTGGCAATAATAAAAAAAAATTCACAATAAATAAAAAATATAAAATAAAAATCAAATTACTTCCCTCAATAAGAATCGAACCCGTAACAGAGCGCACTAGCAGCCAGCGCCTCTACTCGACTGCCATATCAACAACTTATCCAAATTGAAATAAAACCGTATTAAAATAGCAATAGCAAATACAATCGCAATTGCAGTGCTATTCATAGAATTCAATAAAGACGAAACGTGTCGTTGTAAACACAACTTTACTTAATAACTTCTGTCTTTCTTAACTGATCTTGATGAAATTTTTCAACAGTAGATCTTATAGAATATTCATACATTCTTCAAAGGTCAATTACATTCAACTTGTGTGTTTAGCTCGTTGAGGATTTCAAAATCGAGGATTTCAAAATCGATTCTAATAGATTGCTTGAAAACGGGGTAAGTTATCAATTATCGAAAACAAACTTGCACTGTGCGGGCAGTAGGTAAGACGGAATGACAGACGTATATGGGTAGATCGACTGGGCTATTGATGCTGATCAAGAGTATATATACCTTATGGGGTCGGAGATACTTTCGTCTGCCTGTTACAAAAATTGGCACAAAAGCAATATACCTTTACACGCATATTTAATGGCTTATTAATATACTTTGTTAATGATTTGTGTTAATAAATATAGTATAAAACCTTTTTGAATTTAACGCATCTCTAATTCGATTAAGATCGATATTAATTGTGGCAACACTGTCACGTCTCTGCCTGTTAACTTTTTTGACTTAAACTTATTTTTTATACTAGAGCAACACTGTCCAGAGTTACGCTCAAAAAAGTCACTTTGCTCAACTTATTTTGCCCAATTAGCATGTTGCCACACTTATGACAGTCGCATTAAAAATATTTGGTCCGGCTTAAAGTATCAGCAACTCACTTAAAAGTAATTATTATTTTTTTTTATCAAAGAGCAACATTTTAGGATTTGTGTATAAATGACTTAACTCGCTACATCAATTGTTGACTAATTGAAATCACTTTAATTAAATAAGTAAATATAAATATATTGTCTTGTACGAAAGGCTACACTTGTTACAGTCGCGTTCAAAATTGTTGACCAGCTCGACTGGACAAAATCAAGTTTATCTTTTTTCAAGATAGCCACATTTCTTACAGTCGCGTTCAAAATTGTCGACCTGGTACTCATAAATTTCTGCCAGTCATATTTAGTCATATTGCTTACAGTTGCGTTCAAAATAGTAGGCTCAGCAACTGAAGCTTTTTAATTAAATCAAATAAATATTGCAATGTGATAAAGCAACAGTCGCGTCGAAAATAGTCGGCCTGCCTCTAAAAGTCGACACAATTTACTATTTTGCCCAGCGGCAAACGTTTTCAAATCGAATCGAATTAGGGAAAAACTAAATTATATTTTTTTAACAGTATATACTAGCTATAATGAGCATTTACTTATATCTAAAACCTACGGCTGGGTGGCAAATACGCGCTATTTGATGGTGCCTCGCCTGTGGCTGCAGCTCCAACTGGGCTGTTCTTTGTGGCAAAGTCCAAGACTGGCGCCGAGGAGCCGGCATTGTGATTGGTCGAACGGCCGGGCAGCGAATCGTATTGGGCCTGGATGATGCGCTGTGCATTCTCTGCATCGTTCTGTGTGCGATATTTGACGAAGTGAACCTCCGGCTTGTTGTTCGTCTGCAGCTTGACCTGGTTCAGTCTGTTGGCCAGCTCGCCGATATCGGCCTGCTTGTTCAGCACATAGATGGCAGTGCGATCGTCCGAGGCGGACGAGGCCAGCTGCAGTGCCGCCTGCTCCAGGCCCGTGTTCTCCGGTCCCTTGATGAAGAGCACGCGCAGATTCTTGCGCAAGCTATTGGCAATCTGCTCGTTAACTGGTCCATTGTCGAACTCCTGCTCCGGCGCGCTGTACGTGTAGAACTCCTTGTTGAACTCATTGGCAATGAGTATGGGCTCCGACAGCTGGGCGGCGCCGACATCGGGACTGCCGATCAAACCGCCACGCCCATCCCCGGCATGGGACTGGGGCGTATAATCATACTGACCCCGGGCGACGGCAATCAGGCAAAGCATCTGCAAATAAGGCAGGATTTAATTTAATTTCTGGCTAGGATTAGGCTCCGGCACTTACCATAAAAGCGCGCATTGTTGTGCTTGGGCTTGAGTTTTCCACACCGTAGGCTATTTCTTGGCTCTGAGTGTGCTGTGCAGCTGCTGGGCTGTGTCTGTGTGTCCGCCAATTGCAACTCCGCCCGATATTTATATGGAGATCCGGCTGCATCCCAAAGATGCAACAGCATGCAAATGCGCTGCTGCATTGGGCAACAAATATCAGCCACGGTGCTTCAATTAAAATGCCAAACGTTTTTTAATTGGAACATATAGCTTCAAAAATGAAGAAAAAAGCACACACATCAGATTTGGTGAGCCGGAAAATGTGTAAATGTATTCAAATTACGGCTGGGTGTCCAATTTGGCCACCAGATTTGTGGGTTTGCCCAAAACTGGGGCCCAGCTGGAATGTCAAGTTGTGTTGGCAATGCATTTTTTTCGGGAATCATCTAAGACGCGACTGTCGGCAGACGGCTTATTAAAATAAGTATTATATATAAAATTTACATTTTTGGAATTTTACCAAAATTGCCAAACACCGAAAACATAGCCACAAATATTGCGCATACTTGCATAAGTTAATATATTAATATATTTTATGAAATATTAAATAATTAAAAGTAAATTTTTAGCATATTACCTTAAAGAATTCCAAAAATTAATATTTAATGTTTTCCGCTTATATGAAATTTATTTTCGCAAGCAGCCCGAAAATATGCAACACTTTTTGACAACAAAATTTCTCGACACCTATTTTAACCTATGAGTATAAAGGATATTTGAGATGTTCGGGCAACGTTTTCACAAGAATTTTGACCAAGAATAATGTTGCCTGTATTAGATGAAAAACTATGTACAAAAAACAAAACCACGTGAAAATCTGATGAGATTTGAACGAGTTATTGGGATGGAAACTTTTGACCTATGTGGGCAATTTTGACGTATGGCTATGTACGATACTTGCGAATACAATTTTTACATGAGTTTTGACCAAGATTAATGTGCCCAGACCAAGCCATGAACAAAAACCTTATGAATATCTGTTGGTTTTTGACAGAGTTATGGGGTTGGGAAATTTTGACCTATGTCTATATAGGATATTTAAGATTGAAGTTTACATTTCCACTCGAATGTTGACCAGGAATTATGTTGCCAGATTTAGTTGCCAAATTGAGCTAGAGAACAGAAGAGTGGGAGTTCGAACTTTTAATATTTTTGTACAACATATTATTGCGACTATGACATCATATTATAATCGGAGCATTAAGCTCGATTTTAAACGCAGCTAATTAAATTGGCAAGCACTAAAAATAAAAACTTAGTTTCCCATGAAAATAGAGTAAAACACGCTGAAGAAATACAAATAAAATAAAATAAAATAAAGAAATCAGCATGAAAGTGAGCTTGGGATTGATTTATTGATATATGGCAGCTAACTAAGCATATCAGTGACTAGTTGAAATTTTTTTTTTTAATACCATAGCCCACATTCTATTTTAATTTACATGCTAACAAAACCAGTTCGATGGTTTCGCTTTCACACAAAGCAAAATCGAATTCGTTTCAACGAAAAAAAAAAAAAACACGCCAATTTGTAGTCTTATGAATAATTAAGCTCATCGCAAGAAATCTGTGCCGGCAAGTCAGAATGCTCGACCGGCAGATACCCTATCTGCAGCACCGCACTGAAGGGAGGGAAGATCGTATTCGGTTAGTAATATATTATTACATGCCGAAAAATAATCGATAAGCTCGATACTTATCGATATGACATACGAACGTATATTGCTACAAAAATATAATAATATATATCTCTGGCAATGTTTTTGATAGGGCTGGAAATGGAGGAAGAAAACAGAAAATATGCTTGACAAACTTAAGCTGATAATCGATATTTATCGAGTCAAACAATATTGTGATATATGTTACATGCATTCCGACAAAAACATAATACTCTGCTCGTAAGCAATCTCAATAAGTACAGGGTATACTGAGAGCCCGCTTTGCGATTACTGGAAAATCAGGGCTCAATACTGTCTGATCGTTTGTCTGACAATCGAGCCGTGGATATTATGTTAAACAAATGAGTTTCCAAAACTCGTTTCGTTATCGTTTCAAGTTGTTCAAGTTCGTATTGTTGCAAATTATAATTTGATTATGAACACAATGATAAGTTTTGAGCCCCAAAAAAAATGATATTATTATTTAAGTTTTATTAACGTTTTTTTTTTTCGGACTATAAAAGCGCCTGCGGCGGCAAGCGCGCGTTTTAGTTTTGCTTTAAGAACTGAACAAAAATGAAGACTATTTGCGTAAGTGCCCAGATGTGACATATAATAAAAGATATATAGAGAATGATATATGGTTTTCCATGTCAGCTACTTTTGCTGTTCGCCCTGTTGGCCCTCGTCTATGCCGCACCCGCGCCCGCGCCCACGCCTGACAATGAGCCCACCGTCAACGTGCTGAGATACCGTAATGACCAGGAACTGGAGCAGATCCAGCGTTCGATAATTGCGCAATACGAGGCACAATTGGGGGGCAGCACACAGGTTCATGCACCGCGCACTGCGACGCTCGTCAATCCCCAGACACTGGGCATCCACATTTAAATGACCAAAAAAAATGTTAATAAATAACAAATTGTTGTGACAATTTCTTCGACCATTTCAATATGCTGATAAGGGTGATAAGCCGCCGGCTAGGCTCGCCGGAGCTGATCTCGTCGCCGCTTTAGTCTCGCTTCTCTGCTCCGACTGTGCGCAATTCAGCCCGAAAAACAAAATTTAAGAAATCCGAATTTATAAATACAAAAAAAAAAATGCGCTGCTTTTTGGCTCTGCTCACGGCTGCGCTCAGCTGCTTGGCTTTGGGCCAGCGTTTGCCCATGAATCAGCCGATGTTCTTTCCCCGGGAGCAGGACATTGTTTTTCCGGGCACCAAACAGTTCGATACACTGTACAAAATAAGCGATTTTCAGCTTGTGGGCAGACCCGACAATAGCCTGGAGCTGCCGGAGCCGCCCGCCCGCCAGCTAAATCCGCATGCCTATCGGCCGGGTCAACCCTTTCCGCCGCCGCCAAATGGTCGTCGGCACAAGAAGCGCAAAAACAGGCCGCGGCGCCTCTGCGAGCGAAGTGAGTCCTCGTTTATTTATTAATCACTCAGCAGCTAAATACCCTATATTCTGTCAAAGAGTACTCCGAGTATGTGGAGCGCATATTTCCCAACGATACGGCCGTAACGGAAGACGCCAACGATGAAGATTTCGATGGACGCGTACTCGCTCGGCCTGGTGAATACCCTCACATGGTAAGAAGGCAGCTTAGCTGATAAGAAAATATTTTGGTGAATACACTCCGGGAAAATTGAGAAGCATTTTGCAAACTTCTTAAGCTGAGAAATTTGTATATCTGTTCAGACCCATTTCTGTTTAATCTGAAACTAACAGATGCGTTCCTTGAATCTAGGAAATTTTGAACAATGCGTGTTTGAATCAAGAAACCAAAAACGTTTTACTTAAAATAAGCAGAGGCTTTAACAAAATGAAACAAAAGTACTATTTCAAGAGCTGAAATAAGCTTCATATTCAAAGATTTTTTTGAAGCTCCAAATTCTTGAATACTAGACCTAAGTTGAGAACTCACTTAAAGCTTATTATAAGCATACAAAACTATAAAAAAGTATTTTAAGCTTAATCCAAGCTTTAGTTCTAAGATTGACGCTCAAATTAGAGTTCATCATTAAGAAGTTCTTAACTTAGGTATACACAAAAATAATCAAACAAAAACCTGAATTTTTTAATTTGAAATGCAAATACATTTTCTCTGAGTGTAGCTTTTATAAGACGAACAATAACAAGAACCCGGTCAATTAAATTTTATAGGCAGCGCTCGGCTTCGCGACGAACTCCGAAAAAATTGACTACAAATGCGGCGGCAGTTTGATAAGTGAGAACTTTGTATTGACTGTGGCCCATTGCACCGAGGTGGAGGGGTGAGTTGGGAACGAGCGTCGGGTCGAGGGTTCTCTCTGATTGCCTGTGGACCATTTAACATTTTGTAGCGCCGCGCCGAAATGGGTGCGAATCGGCGGACTGAATCTGTTGATCGATGAGGCGCGGGTTAAGCCGCAGAACTTTGGAATTGAAAGCATATCCAAGCATCCCGATTACAAAGTGGACTCTTACTACAATGATATCGCACTTTTAAAACTGGAGAGAGATGTGATGTAAGTATAGACGGGTTAAAATTTAGAAGTAAAAGTAGAAGTAGAAGCAGAAGTAGAACTAGCAGTAGAAGTAGAAGTAGAAGTAGAAGTAGAAGTAGAAGTAGAAGTAGAAGTAGAAGTAGAAGTAGAAGTAGAAGTAGAAGTAGAAGTAGAAGTAGAAGTAGAAGTAGAAGTAGAAGTAGAAGTAGAAGTAGAAGTAGAAGTAGAAGTAGAAGTAGAAGTAGCCGTCGACGTCGCAGTCGCCGTAGCCGTCGCCGTCGCCGTCGCCGTCGCCGTAGCCGTCGCCGTCGCCGTCGCCGTCGCCGTCCGCCGTCGCCGTCGCCGTCGCCGTCGCCGTCGCCGTCGCCGTCGCCGTAGCCGTCGCCGTCGCCGTCGCCGTCGCCGTAGCCGTCGCCGTCGCAGTCGCCGTCGCCGTCGCCGTCGCCGTCGCCGTCGCCGTCGCCGTCGCCGTCGCCGTCGCCGTCGCCGTCGCCGTCGCCGTCGCCGTCGCCGTCGCCGTCGCCTCGCCGTCGCCGTCGCCGTCGCCGTCGCCGTCGCCGTCGCCGTCGCCGTCGCCGTCGCCGTCGCCGTCGCCGTCGCCGTCGCCGTCGCCGTCGCCGTCGCCGTCGCCGTCGCCGTCGCCGTCGCCGTCGCCGTCGCCGTCGCCGTCGCCGTCGCCGTCGCCGTCGCCGTCGCCGTCGCCGTCGCCGTCGCCGTCGCCGTCGCCGTCGCCGTCGCCGTCGCCGTCGCCGTCGCCGTCGCCGTCGCCGTCGCCCGTCGCCGTCGCCGTCGCCGTCGCCGTCGCCGTCGCCGTCGCCGTCGCCGTCGCCGTCGCCGTCGCCGTCGCCGTCGCCGTCGCCGTCCGCCGTCGCCGTCGCCGTCGCCGTCGCCGTCGCCGTCGCCGTCGCCGTCGCCGTCGCCGTCGCCGTCGCCGTCGCCGTCGCCGTCGCCGTCGCCGTCGCCGTCGCCGTCGCCGTCGCCGTCGCCGTCGCCGTCGCCGTCGCCGTCGCCGTCGCCGTCGCCGTCGCCGTCGCCGTCGCCGTCGCCGTCGCCGTCGCCGTCGCCGTCGCCGTCGCCGTCGCCGTCGCCGTCGCCGTCGCCGTCGCCGTCGCCGTCGCCGTCCGTCCGCCGTCGCCGTCGCCGTCGCCGTCGCCGTCGCACGTCCCCGTCGCCGTCGCCCGTCGCCGTCGCCGTCGCCGTCGCCGTCGCCGTCGCCGTCCGCCGTCGCCTTCGCCGTCGCCGTCGCCGTCGCCATTCGCCTTCGCCTTCGCCTTCGCCTTCGCCTTCGCCTTCGCCTTCGCCTTCGCCTTCGCCTTCGCCTTCGCTTCCCGTCGCCGTCGCCGTCGCCGTCGCCGTCCCGTCGCCGTCGCCGTCGCCGTCGCCGTCGCCGCGTCCTCGCCTGCGTCCTCGCCTGCGTCCCCCCCCTTGTCTCCGCCTCTGGCCTCTTCCTCGGTGCCGCTCCTTTTGTTCTCGCCCTTTTCTCGCCCTCCCCCTCTCTCGTCTCTCTCTTCTTTCTTCTTTTCCCCGGCTTCTCCTGCCTCTGCTGCCCTTCTCTCACCTTGGTTTCCTTTCCGTCTTCCTCCGTCCGTTCGCCCCATCCGTCTGTGGGTTCGCGGGGCGATCCCGCCATCGATTGCATTCGCCATGGGCTATGGCTCCACTAGCTTTGGCACGGGCATGACATATCGCTTGACCCATCTGACTGCGACCATTGTGCCCAACGAGGAGTGCAACCGGGATCTGCCCGTTTTCGCAGAGACGCCCAATGGCATTATAGACAGTCAAATATGCGCTCAGGACTTCGTTCAAAATCGGGACACCTGCCAAGGCGACTCGGGCGGTCCGCTCCAGCTGAATTTGCCGGGTCGCCGACATCAGCACATTCATTATCATCTTATTGGCATCACCTCCTTCGGCGTGTTTTGCCGCAGCAGCTACCCAAGTGTCTACACCCGTGTATTTACGTACCTGGACTGGATCGAAGAAGTCACGTGGGGTGATCCAGAAAACTGAATCTAATTTAAGACGATTTCTAAATTATTTTATAATTCACAAATAAAAATAGAATCCAACCAAAAGAAGAAAAACATTTTCTCGTTTTACTTATTACAAAGTTATGAGGTTTTTTAGTTTGGGAATAGGTTTTCCAGAGAATGGAATCTCTCTAAAATTGTTTTATATAAAACAATTTAAAATGTTAAATTTTATAAGATTACAAACACTTCCATTTTATACAAAATAATGGATTTACATTAAAATGTACTTTCTTTTGTATTTTTTTAAGGCAAAAACGAACATAAATATTTGAGCAATTTTGCTAAAAGACCTTTTCCAGATAATGAAATCTCTTAAAAATGTTTTTATCTAAAACCATATAAAATATTACAAATAATTTTTGTGAGTAAAAAACATATCCATTTAATACAAAAAAGAGTACATTACATTGAAGTTTTTGTTTTCTTTCGTATTTTTTTTAAGGCAAAAACGAACATAAATTTTTTGGTCAATTTTGCTGAGTATTCTAGCTGAGAGTTCGACATCAGACCTCGTTATTGGCATCCATAATCTGGCGTTTGATGTCCTCATAGGAGGGCAGGGTCTGTGATGAAAAGCGAAGATCAATAAAGTGTTTAAGGAATGGGGGAGATTGTGGAATGATTTGTGAGCTGCTGGACTTGTGGGCGCCGAGATACTCACTCACCGATCAAGTCGAGTGTTTGGGATCAGGCATGAGTGTGTGAGCGTGAGCGAGAACAAGATTAAGCAAAGCAGGCGATTGTTATGTATTTGAATGTGGCATGCGATTCAGTTGGCCAGCGATCTACTCACCTGCCAGTAGCTGTCCTCCCAGGCGGGGAACATGCGCTTGAAGGCGCCCGGCTCCTGGCCCTGTGTGACGCGCACAATGCTCACGGTGTCCATGGTGCGGGCGGTGGGCTCCGAGCCAATATAGCGCTAAAATGGAGGGGAAAGAAGATTAAAGAGAAGTTCAATCGAGCTTGTGTTGGGCTTACCTGTGCCATGTCCAAGATCTTGCCGTTCTCCTCGGCAGTGGCGCCGGCGCCAACCCACAGATAGATTTCGTCGCCGGCATCGAGCAGCATGACATCGTCCGTATCGAGATCCTCCTGCTGGAAATCGGCCACCTCCTCGACCTTGGCGCGACCAGTGCGTGTCAGGCGGCAATGGAAGAGACGCGGCTCGAGCAGCGGCGCCGTATGATCCTCCAGATTGCGATCGTACTGACCCTCACCGTTCAGCTCCTCCCAGAACTCATCCGGCTCGGCGCCCTCCTCGACCAGCTCCAGCTCCGCATCCTTCCAGTAGTGGGCGAAGCGTGCTGTGGCCGCCTCCTTCTCGAAGCTGGAGGCGCCCAGGCCATGCCAGACGTACACCTTGTGCGTCTTGGTGGAGGCCAGCGCGAAAGCATCGCTGGAGGCCAGCGAAGAGCTGTCGGCGGGCACCTCGCTGGCATGGACGTCGCTCTCGACGGTGCCGCGTATGCGGAACAGCTGTGAGGAGACGGGTAGCGCCGTGTACGACTCGAGCAGCTTACCCTTGAAGATCTTGTAGAAGTGACGCGGCTCGTGACCCTGCGTGGTGCGCACCAGCAGCGCCTTCTGCTCGACGGCCAGCGCCAGGCCGTCCTCGAAGGCCCGCTCCTTGACCGCTGCATTGGCCTTGGCACCCTGCCAGACATAGACGACGGTGCCCTTGTCACCGTTGTTGGCCTCGTAGTTGTAGCTAAGCACATAGGAGCCGAAGCCGAGCAACGGCAGCTCTTCCTCGAAGGGCACACGGTTACGCAGCACCTCGTTGCTGCCCGGTTGGCTCACGTACTGGACGATCTCGCCAATGCTGTTCTGGCCGTGATCGGGCATGAAGCCGATAGCACGGCCGCCGCTCTTCTTCAGCTGCTGCACGACCGCATCGATCTCGTCAAGATCCAGTGACTCATCCGAGCCGATGTTTAAGGCGGAGCGCACGAGGCGTGTGTGTGCCATGCCAGAATCGCGCCATGTGTCGAAATATTGTTTAAATGGCGCCGATTCGGCGCCCTCGACGATGCGATGGATTTGCGTCCAGGCGGGATATTTCTTGGTGCGCAGGAACTCCTGCGCCTTGGCCATGGCATCCGATTTCTCTGCTGGCGTGGCGCCGCGGCCCACCCACACAAAAATGCCGGAGCCGGTGTCCAAAATGAAGCAATCGCGCGTATCCAGCATGGCCTGACGCAGCGGCTTCTGGGCAATGGTGTCCACCTGGAGCCGGCCGCTGGCATCGGACACCTTGTAGAGGGTGACGGCGGCGGCGTCGGTGCGCTCGAAGGCACCGTCCTCGTCGGAGGTGGACTCCTCGGGCACCTGATCGGGCGAGCCGGAGCCGAGCACATCGAAGAACTGCTGCTTGTCCAGATCCGTGCTGAACTCGTCAATGATCTGGACGCGGGCACGTCCATTGTGATCCTGATCTCTAATCTGGTTCGCTGCGCTGATGGCCTTCAGCTTCTCCACGCGCTTAGCCTGGGCGCCCACATAGACATAGATATCGTTGCCGGCATCCAGTATGAAGCAATCGCCCTTGTTCATCGAGGAGACAGACAGATTCACCTGGCGGACGCGCACATTACGCTTGCCCTTCACCTGGAACAGACGCTTCTCGCCCTGGGCATTCGTCTCCACGTGCTTGAAGCCGGTGCCAACTCCACCCTGTTCATAGCGAACACCTGAAAGAAGCGGAGCCAGTCTTAAATGCGAGCCAAGTGCGAAGCAAGCTCTTGTTACCGTTCTTGAAGTAGCCGAGGAACAGCTGGGACTCGTGATCCTGCACCTCGCGGTGCTGCACGGGACCGCCATTCAGGATATCATCCAGCTGCACGGTCAATATAGCCGCAGCGCCAGCCTCGTCCGTGGAGGTCTCCGAGCCCAGCCAGAAGTGCACATCCCATGTGAGCTGCTTGTCCTTCGGGTTCTGCTTAGTCTGCGAAGATTTCAAAAAAAAGAGTTAAGTATTTTATTAATTGATTTCTTATATAATATAAAAACTAATAAAATAAACAAAATTCTTGAGAATTCGTTTAGTTAGATATCAAATATTTTCTAGTTAACTTAAATCTCAGTAATTATGAAAATTTTCTTAACGTTTCCGATTTTGATATATGCCTAAAACCGAACCAGTTCATATTTAGGACTTTTATTTTATGTGTAACGCTGCAAAACCAGAAACGAATCGGTTCAAAAATAACTTTACATATAAAACGAACATAACCCTAAGTTTCTACAACTTTAAAAAACTGTTCATGTTATTAATGAACCGAACCAGTTCAAAAATCGAATTCTAAAACCGGTTTAAACAGCGAATTCTTGTTTTATTTACGAGGAGAAACCTGAACCAAACCAGTTCACAACACAATAACTTAAAGTAAAACCGACCGATAAAATAATTATTTTAATAGTTTAGTTTTGTTAAATGAAACTTGAACCGAACTAGTTCAAAAACCGATTTCTAAAACCAGTTCACAAAATAAATAACTTAACCTTAAACTAAACGTAACCCTACTTTTATTCCAATTTCTATGGAAACTGTATCGTAAGCTAGTTTCAACTAAAATAAACTATTTGTGTAATTTGATAGGCTAACCCAATCATACGCTGTACGATTCGTTAGCCTTTCAACTGTTTAAATATTTATAAGTTCCCGATTCCCACATTTAAATTGACCTAATATTTGTTTTATATCTTATGAGAATCCAAACACCATATGTTAGTCATAATAATGTTGAATACATTTCTGAACTTATCTAGAAAGTGTATATATTTACACAAAGAATCATTGTTAGTCAGTTTTTACAATCGTAGCGATGCTTTTTTTTTCCTTTTACGCAATTAAAATGAGTCAGTTTTTCAGATGGAAAGGCCACAAGTAAACCTGAGCTGTAAACTGACCTCGCCAAAAGCAATTATTGCTATATATAGCAGAAAAAAAAATACTTACAACAAATACTATTTAATTAATTTCTTAAAATATTGTTTTATTATTATACAAAAATTGTTACTTACATTCAGAATTATGAACGAATCGCCAGTGTAAAATTTGCCATAGTTGTTGGGCGGATACGGCACGGGCTCGAAATTCTGGACAATAGAAACAAATTTCAAAAAAACCATTAATATTCAGATAGACAGATATATATATAGATATATGCTTTTTCGACTGCCGGCAGTGTCAAAATATTTATGCGAAAAAATCGAAAGCAATTTTCTTTAAACAAAACAAAGACAAAACAAAAAGAAAAACTTAGCTTGTGCCAGCGGCGGCGTCTCATAAATTTTGCTAATGTTTCCCAAGTTAATTAACACGAGCGAGGCATATGGTGATGTTTACTGTACACATGTTTTGCTACAGTGAAGACTCGCTAGTGAAGAAAGAGAAACATCTGCTGCTCAAAATTGCGTGTGCTCAGCGACTAGAAAAATAAAGTCAGGCACAAGTCAATAATTCCTTTATGCCAGAGTGAAGGTGTGTGCCTATGTACACCTGTGTCTGCAGGTGTGCAGGTGTGCATGTGTGTGTGTGTGTGTGAGGCAATACTTTGCATGCCAAATGCCACAAGCTGGATGAGCAACGCATTCGTGCGTGGGCAGCTGCGAACTTTCCCCCAAACGATGTAAACATGCAGCAGCAACAACTATTTATATAAACTTTTCTCGTAAATGGGGCAGATTTAGTATACAAAATAAGTATACAAAAGTGAAAATGTGAGCACATTCAAAATAGTAAAAAGATGCACTCGGCGGAAAAGCCAGTTCCTAGTTTTTGGCACGACTTGGACTAGAATATCATCAACAAAACGATTTTGTTTCAAAAATGTCAAAGTAAATTTCAATTTTAATTAAACGTGATTCATTCTTTCTTTCGAAATTCTTCGTTAGAAAAATATGCTTATTTCAAGTAAAACATACTTAATTCAAGCGGAACAGCCAGTTCTTTAAATTTGGCACGACTTTGACTAGAATATCATCAAACAAAAACAATTTCTTTCAAAATTGTCGAAGTACATTTGAAAT